CTCCTTCAGACCCAGGCGGACTCCTTCAGACCCAGGCGGACTCCTTCAGACCCAGGCGGGCTCCTTCAGACCCAGGCGGACTCCTTCAGACCCAGGTGGGCTCCTTCAGATCCAGGCGGACTCCTTCAGACCATCTCAGACATGGAAAAGTTTGGGATGAGTTTCGTGGGTGGTCCCAACAGGAAGGAGCTTCTGGACACCATAGAGTCCCAGAAGAAGCAGCTGGTTCAGTACCAGACCCGCTTTAAGGATGTAGTCCGGGCCTACAAGAGCCTCCTGAAGGAGAAGGAGGCCCTAGAGGCCAGCCTGAAGGTCCTGACTGTGACCCAGGACATGGACCTGAACCGGCAGATGCAGGACGCCACCGGAGGCGCGGACCTGCTGGAGGACGGCTGCTCGCTGCACAGCGAGAACAGCGAGGACACGACGGCGTCTGTGGACGCGGCCAGCGATACCACGAGGGGGGTGCGGAACGAGGAGGACCAAGGAGAACCGGGTCAGAGGTCCAGCTCCACAGTACGTCCACCAGAACAAAACGAAGATCCACAAACAGCGGCCGCAGTTTAACGTGTCCATTCTCTCTGCAGGCTGACAGCAGCAGCGGCGTGGAGGAGGGGAACCAACAGGCTCCGCCCCCGACCAGTATAGAAGCAGACCGCCGCCTGGTCCAACTGAAGAGCCAACTGAGCACGCTCACTGCGTCCCTGGCCACCGTGACCCAGGAGAAGTCCTGGATGGAGGCGAGTTTCCAGGCTGACAAGCGTCAGGTGAAGCAGGAAGTGGAGGAGCTGCAGGAGCGCCTGGTTGCCGTGACGACGCAGCAGGAGGCGGAGCTGTGCTCCCTGCAGCAGCAGCTGGCGGAGAGCCGCGCTCGCATCATCACGCAGCAGCACGAGCGCGAGCAGGAGCAGGGAGACCACGGCCAGCAGCTCCGGGAGCTGCAGAGGCTCCTGCAGCAGGAGCGAGACCTGCGGCAGGACGCCGAGCTGCGCCTCCACGACGCCAGCGACGCCCTCCTCGCCTCCTCACAGGCCCTAGACCGGGGGGCAGAGTTTGAGACTCACCTGAACCAGGTGAGGGAGGAGAGGGACGAGCTGCGGAGGAGGCTGCAGGTCCTCCAGGAGGAGCAGCAGAAACCAGATCCCAGAATGGAGGAGCTGCAGAGAGAGCTGCAGGAGCTCAAGACCTCCTTCCAGCAGCAGATCCACACGGAGAGCAAGAAGGTAAGACCAGGTCCTGATCAGAACCAGATCATTCAGAATAAGAAGATGAGACCTGGTTCTGATCAGTCCGGACCCTTAAAAAGGTTCTGGTGTGTGTGTGCAGGTGTGCGAGGCGGAGGACCGGACCCGTGAGCGGGCCCAGGCTGCGGAGCTGAGGGTGGCCGGTTTGGAGCAGCGGGTCTCGGAGCTGTCGGACCTGCTGGGCTCCTGCGAGAAGGCCCGGCAGCGGGACCAGCAGATGGCTCAAAGACTCAGGGACCGGGTCCTGCAGCTGGACCTGGAGAACAAGACTCTGGCCATGGCCGCCTCCAGCAGGTCTGGCGCCGACCTCGGCCCCGAAGAGGCGCAGCTGAACGTGGCGGCGCTGAAGGAGAAGCTGCGGACTGTGAAGAAGCTGCTGCTGGCGGCTCAGAGGAACCCGGGTCAGAACATCCAGGACCCGGCCGACTCCGAGGAGGACCCGACCCGAACCTCTGCGCTGGTCCACCAGCAGGAGCTGCAGCAGCTGAAGGACGAGTTCGAGCGCTACAAGCTGCGCGCCCAGGTGGTCCTGAAGAACAAGAACGTCAAAGATGGCTGCCAGGCCAAGGAGCTGGAGGAGGTCCGGGACCAGCTGTCCGAGCTGCGCGAGAAGTACATCGACCTGCGGGTGCAGAGCGACGAGGCCGAGCAGCAGCACCGCCGGCAGCTGGAGGAGCGGCAGCAGCAGGGGGCGGCGCTGCAGCACGCCCACAGACAGGAGCTGGAGCGGGCGGAGGCGCAGCACCGCGACCAGCTGCTGCGGCTGGAGGCGGAGCTTCACAAGCAGCGCGAGCGGACCATGAAGCTGTTGGACGAGAAGGACCAGGAGCTGGAGAGGCTGAGGAGCGTCGCGTTCAGCCGTGCCGCCGCCACCGAGGCCGACGGCGCGCAGGAGGTCGTCTCTGACTGCGAGGGCGATGTCATCAGCCAGGCTCTGCGACAGGCCACGCCCACAGAGTCCTCACTGCTGCTGTACGCCGAGCAGCTCGCCCGCAAGGAGGTGGAGGTGGGCAGCCTGCGGCGCCACAAGAACCGGCTGGAGGTGGACCTCCACCAGCTGCAGGCCAAGCTCATCGCCAACGCCGAGCGGCACGAGGAGGAGACCGCCGAGCTACAGGGCCGCCTGGACAAACTGATCCGGGACCAGAGCCGTGAAGGCGCCAACATGGAGTACCTGAAGAACGTGGTCTACAGGTTCCTGACGCTGCAGGACTCCAGTGGGCGGCGCCAGACGCTCAACGCCATCGTCACCATCCTGCACTTCAGCCCGCAGGAGAAACAGGAAGTGACGAGGCTTCAGGGGCCCGCCTGGTGGGGCCCCGTGCGCAGGTGAAACAGGAAGTGACGACTCACCTGCTTCGATGTTTTTCATTTCTTCAGTAAAATTATTTTTGTCTTGAAGTGAAACAATAAAATCATTTGATGCATTTTTTCTTGTTGTCTGAACCAAACCAGGTCCAACAGAACCTGGACCAGTCCGGCAGGATCATTTAGTCCAGTCTAGACTTGGAGCGGAGATCTGTAGACCGGATCAGTGTGGGTCCAGGGACAGAGGGTCTGAACAGAACCTAAATGTTTTTAATGGAAGGTGTTGGAGGAGGAGGAGGAGGAGTTGGTGGAACAGAGGGAGGTTTGGTTTAGATTCTTGTCCGAGGAGGCGCAGAGGGACTGATCCTGGAGGATCTTCGTCTTAGATGAACCTTCAGTCACTCCGGTCATTTGAAGACGGTTTCCTTCAACGATCGGGGTGGTTGGTTTAAAGTACGGTGGCAGCCATCTTGGATTTTGACTAAACCTAGTTTTCAAAAGGAACCCGAGTCGCCAACAAGAACCCGACTCGTTCGTGTCCACAGGATAGACGGGGGTCTTTCTGGGTCCAGTGACTAAAAGACACGAAGCTTCATCGTTTAGTGTTGCTTTATTTACACAAGTCAAAAACATTGTTCACATTTCAGATGATAAACAGGACGAGTCCGGCAGGTCCTTAAGGACGAGTCCCTCGGGTCCTTCGAGTCCCTCGGGTCCTTAAGGACGAGTCCCTCAGGTCCTTCAAGAACGAGTCCCTCAGGTCCTTCAAGAACGAGTCCCTCAGGTCCTTCAAGGACGAGTCCCTCAGGTCCTTCAAGGACGAGTCCCTCAGGTCCTTCAAGAAGAGTCCCTCAGGTCCTTCAAGAAGAGTCCCTCAGGTCCTTCAAGAAGAGTCCCTCAGGTCCTTCAAGAACAAGTCCCTCAGGTCCTTCAAGAAGAGTCCCTCAGGTCCTTCAAGAACGAGTCCCTCAGGTCCTTCAAGAAGAGTCCCTCAGGTCCTTCAAGAAGAGTCCCTCAGGTCCTTCAGGACGAGTCCTGTGAGCGTCTGTTGAAGAGCAGCCTGCAGGTCTCCAGGCAGCGAGTGGACCACGGAGGTGATGAAAGAATCCAGGTCGTCTAAAACTCCGTCTCGGACCTGCAGCTGCTGCCGGCGAGCTTTATTCTGAAAAGCACAGGAATCCAAACAGATCACCTGATGAACTTCTTCCACAAGTCGTCACCTCAAGTTCCTCACCAGTTTCTCTCTCAGCTTCAGGATCAGGTCCACAATCTCCACCTCAGACTTGTCTTTGGTCCAGCCCAGCAGATCCTGCAGAGGACACGTGACAGAGGACAGGCGTGTCTCAGACAGAAGCAGGTGTTCCAGATGGGGGGGCACTCACCGCGTCACAGATGACCTCCAGGTGGAGGCTCTCCAGTTTCTGCGTCATCTCTCTGTGGCGCTGACGATACCAGCCGTCAAAGTTGGGAGACCTGAAGAACTTCCTGAGACAGCAGAGACAGGAGGACACGTCCACTCGTCGTTCAGATCACAGCGCTGCCACCTGCGTGACTCACCTGTACAGACCCATCCAGTCCCCTCTGAGCACGGAGGTGAGCTGAGGCCCGGCGTGGTCCAGGGTGGACAAGAACTCGTCCTGACTGAAGGGACGGATCTGAGGCGGCGTCTGAACAGAAACAGCTTTAGATTGATCAGACGATCAGCTGATGAAGAACTTCTTGTTTACCTTCCAGGGCGTCACAGATCTCTGCAGAGGCATCAGGCTCGCCATGTAGCGCTCCTGCCAGACAACACACGGGGCTTACTGCTCCACCGTCACATGGACCACCTGATTTCACCTGACGTTGAGCTGGTTTCTCACCAGAGGGATGATGAAGCTCTGCGTCAGCTCCAGTAGGTGTCTCCTCAGGATGGCGCTCTGGACCTCCGACGGCCTCCTCCTCTGGATCCCCTGCAGAAAAAACAGAACCAAATGAAGAAGCTGCTCTCTCTCCCTCCTCAGGTGGGCTTACCTGGACGACAGCACACCTTTAGCAGTCTCCTGATCAGAATCTTGTCTTTGTGCAGAAACGTCTTGTAGGCTGTGTAGATCCCTGCACACACAAACGTGTCACACAAGCAGCCAGCAGGAAGTTCTGCTGCAGAACCACGTGTTCCATCAGGTTACCTGGTTTGGTGTCGAGACTCTTCAGCTTGGACAGCTTCTTCACCTTCACCTGCTTCGGCAAATCACCTGGACAGGAGCAGACACAGATCCAGGTGTGTTTGTTCATTCAGGCAGTCTCCACTTGGGTCAGAAGAGAGCTTCAAACGTTCCGCAGACAGAACCTGCAGAACCTGAGTGGACAGGTAACGGGTGCGGAGCAGCAGAACCTCAGAGTGGACA